AAAGCGAAGTTCTTTTGAAAGTAAAGTTCTCTTGAATATAAAGAGTCTGGACATTGCATATCATCAAAATACACAACATCTACTGTATTTAAGGCAACCTGTTGGAAGGCTAGAATAGCTTCGGTATTTCCATGTTAAACCCCCTGCTTTTAACAGCTTTCTTTTCATAGAGCCAGCTATGAAGAGATGCTGAAGGCAGCAATATTTTTGGGATGTGTCAACAGTGTGATACATAATTTAAAATGTGTGCTTGCTCAGAGCAGCAAAGTTACTCAAATATGTCTTCCGTTAGGAATTTCAGCCTCCCTTTCCAGCTGGGATGAGGCGCCACTTTGGACAATGTTATGCCCTTTGTTGGAACAGCACTGGGAACAAAACAAATCCGTCTCTTGGCTTACTTCAAAGATTTCACTGGCACAACTTGGGGCTGACAGAAATTTTGAACGTTCTGTTCCATTAGGCTGACAGTCTCATTCTCATCTCTCTCTTTCTCTCCAGCACCCTCACCTCAAGCTATATGCATGCAGGGCAGCAGACTGAAAAGCAAAATGACATAGCCGGTTTTGTGGAGATCTCAATCATAGGTAAAGTGACCCCTGACCATTAGGTCCAGTCGTGGCCGACTCTGGGGTTGTGGCGTTCATCTCACTTTATTGGCCAAGGGAGCCGGCGTACAGGTTCTGGGTCATGTGGCCAGCATGACTAAGCTGCTTCTGGCGAACCAGAGCAGCACACAGAAACGCTGTTTACCTTTCCGCCGGAGCGGTACCTATTTATCTACTTGCACTTTTTGGCGTGCTTTCGAACTGCTAGGTTGGCAGGAGCAGGGACAGAGCAATGGGAGCTCACCCCGTCGCAGGGATTCAAACCGCTGACCTTCTGATCAGCAAGTCCTAGGCTCTGTGGTTTAACCCACAGAGTCACCCACGTCCCAATCTCAATAATTGTTGTTGTTGTTGTTGAGTCGTTTAGTCATGTCTGACTCTTCGTGACCCCATGGACCAGAGCACGCCAGGCACTCCTGTCTCCCACTGTCTCCCGCAGTTTGGTCAAACTCATGCTGGTAGCTTTGAGAACACTGTTCAACCATCTCATCCTCTGCCGTCCCCTTCTCCTTGTGCCCTCCATCTTTCCCAACATCAGGGTTTTTTCCAGGGAGTCTTCTCTTCTCATGAGGTGGCCAAAGTATTGGAGCCTCAGCTTCACGATCTCAATAATAGCAAGCAATAAATGGATCCACACTGCTGTGTTGTATGGGCACAACTGGCCACCCTGCTTGGCAACAGCTGGAGCTCAAACATGTCTCAAAAGCATCAATCCATCCAAGCACAAGGGAAGTATCAGCAAAGCTCAAGGAGAAATCCTGAGGTTTGCAGAACTATAGAAAATCCTTGCAGGGGGAACCTGCAGCCCACTCACAAATCCCTTCCTTTAAACCTCCCCCCTAAAAAAAATATCACTCCATAAACCCACCCATCCAATACCTTGCCAAGAAAAACAGGGCATTTAGGGAAATAAATTTTACATTAGCATTGCAGTCCTAGAATTTGCACACCCACCCATGCTTACCGATCACATGCAAAATAGACTTAGCCTGCCCAATGTAATTAAAAAGTCTGTATATTCCTTCTCTTGTGTCTGTGGGGGGAATATAACAAAAAAGCATCTTGCACTAGAGGAACAAAAATATAAACTGATTCAGGTGCTTTGCAATAATGGTTCCATATCGTTGCTTCCCAAATGACACAGATCTTTTTTAAAATTTATTTGCTACATTTGTGCACCTCAAATGCTCTAAAATGCAGATGCATGCACACAACGCCCCCTGCAATAGATATTGCTTGTTTACCTGTAATTCTAAAACTGCTCTTGGGTCAAAATGCCATGGTTTTTGGAGAGGTGTTGTTTACAACCGTGAGTTAGCAACAAGGGCACTATCACTCACCCGCTTCCATGGGGTCACGAAGAGTCGGACACAACTAAACGACTAAACAACAACAACATTATTATTATTACAGTGGTACCTCGGGTTAAGAACTTAATTTGTTCTGGAGGTCCGTTCTTAACCTGAAACTGTTCTTAACCAGAGGTACCACTTTAGCTAATGGGGCCTCCCGCTGCCGCCGGAGCACGATTTCTGTTCTCATCCTGAAGCAAAGTTCTTAACCCGAGGTACTATTTCTGGGTTAGCGGAGTCTGTAACCTGAAGCGTCTGTAACCTGAAGCACCTGTAACCTGAGGCACCACTTTATTATTATATAAAATGCAAGTAGCATAATGTGCTCCAGGACTAAGAAGTCATTCCCTCAGAGGGACTGAGGTGAATTTTGTGGGAGTGGATCTCCATCCATTTTTTCTTTCATGCATGTGTTATGTGCTGATGACGGTACGTGTTAGAAGTGTTGAAGGGTATAAAAAGGGTTTTTGATAGGGAGTGGAATAGTCTGCAGGGCTAGAACATTTTATTTAATTGCCTTAAGATCTCCAGAAGAGGCTCTTCCCCATGTCCTGCTGCTGGGAGAAGTTCCCAATGGTGTGTGTTTTTGTGTGTGTGTGTGTGTGTGTGTGTGTGTGTGTGGTGGGATACAGCCCTGTCACTTTGGATCACCTTTATTTCTATACTTTGAAGATTATTATTATTATTTAGAATTCAACATTAACAAAGAAAAAACCCCCACAGTAGCTGCTACCTCAGTTCCTTTACAATTAACCATTTTAACAATATATAAATTGTAATAATTTTTTTTTTACATAACATCACTTTTAACTTACTGAGGTTTTCATATTACACTCTTATCTCTTTATCTCTTTCTTAACATATCAAAAAGAGAAAGACCAAGATGTGAAACACAAAGAAAGAAAAAAGAAGAGAAAGAAGAAGAAGGAGAAGGACGAGGAGGGAGTGAGGGGAAGGGAGAGAGGAAAAAAGAAAAGAAGAAAAATAACACAAAACAAAACAAACACATTTGGCTTCCGATTAGACTCATTGTATTATTATTTCTACAATTTTTTCACACACAGTTCCAAATTACTGTATTTCTTTCTTTGTTTTTGTCAGATATCAAAAAACATTAAGTTTGTTGTTTTACAGGGATCATTCTATTTCTGCCAGGAGATATTTGTTATTGTAATGCTTTTCCAAATACTCTTTATAGATTTTCCATTCTTTCTGTACTTTCTGTTTTGGATACCCTCTAATTCTCCCTGAAGATTATCTTTTGAGGTTGACCTCTGCACAGGGCTGGCTTACCCATAGGCGCTAGGGGTGCAGGGCGCTCGGGCACCAGACTCTCAGGGGCGCCAGGACAAGAGTCCGGGGTCGAGATTTGGAGTCCGGGGATTGAACAGCCGGGCCAGCCGATAGCCGCTGCCGAGTAGAGCAGAGCTCTACTGCTGCGGGCGCTGGGGCAGCCGGCTGCCTCTGCCCTCCTGCGCACCTGGGAGTGGCGGGTCATCAAGAGGCCCGCCCAGCACACGCACTCCTCACACGAGGCGCACAGCTTCCCGCCCAAACCTCTGCGGGGATTGTTCCTCTCCTCCCTTCATCCGCAGTGGCATGGGAGAGAGTTGCGTGCCCCCCAAAAGCTCAACAACTCTGAGCTGCCCCCCCAAAAGACGCTCAACAACTTTGGCCTGCCCCCCCCCAAATGGGGACGCTGGGCAGTTTTTTGCACTCCAACGCCGCATATGCTAAAGACGGCTGTGCCTCTGCGCTCCCACTATCGTTAAGGGAGTGGCAATGAGATACAGGACCTTCTCAGTGGTGACATCAGGCCTGGCCCACCCATGAGGCAAGGTGTAGCAACTGCCTCAGGCGGAAGGATCTACAGGGGCAGAAGGTCTGGCCTCCAAAGAATGTATCGCCTGCTGCTGCTGCTGCTGTTGCCACTGTGGCAGCAATGGCTGCCACACACTCTTTGGAGTCCATATTTGCTGCCTCCTTAGCAGCCCTTCTCCAATGGCGCCTTTAAAGCTAATTTGGAGGTGTTGATGGCCTCCTTTTATCCCTATGGGGGGAAATGGCAGAGGAACCCACCCTCTGTGATTCAGAACAGGCCCCCTTCTGCCCCGTGTACAGCCTTCCCACCTTAACTGTTGGGTAAGGTTGATTTTATTTCCCACCCACCTCTTATTCCCGGAGTATATCTTCACTCCCCACTTGTTCCCTGGTGTGGTAAAAGCCATTTTGTAGTTCACCTCAGGTGCCAAAATGTCTGGTGGGAAATCCAGACTATGGAATGCTCTCTCCAGGGAGATTGGCCCGGCGATTATTTTGTTATCTTTCTAGCACCAGGCAAAATCCTTTTTATTATCCCGAGACTTTTGTTAAATTCCTAATCCTTGACGTAATTAATTTCATGCTGCCTTTATCTGAAATGTGTGCTGCATGTATTTTTATCTGTCTATCTATAGTTCGTGTATCGATTGCATTTTGCTTTTATGTGTTTGTAAAGCCGCTCGGAGGGAAAACTTTTTTTCTTCAGAACAATCCACAACAAACAAATAGACAAGCAATACTAACATCAGACAGAGGATCCGGGTGGCGCTGTGGGTTAAATCACAGAGCCTAGGATTTGCCGATCAGAAGGTCGGTGGTTCGAATCCCTGCAATGGGGTGAGCTCCCGTTGCTCGGTCCCTGCTCCTGCCAGCCTAGCAGTTCGAAAGCACCTCAAAGTGCAAGTAGATAAATAGGTATCGCTCCGGTGGAAAGGTAAACCGCGTTTCCGTGCGCTGCTCTGGTTCGCCAGAAGTGGCTTAGTCATGCTGGCCACATGACCCGGAAGCTGTACGCCTGCTCCCTTGGTCGATAAAGCGAGATGAGTGCCGCAACCCCAGAGTCGGTCACGACAGGACCTAATGGTCATGGGTCCCTTTACCTTACTAACATCAGAACACTATAAAACATTGGTCATTAAACATCAGTAGATTCCATTTATGTTGTTTGGCAAAGTGGAGTCTCAGATAAATCTTGGTAACCTCGCCCCAGTTTTCTAGAGAAATGTATGGCAAAGTAATAAATACACCAATATCAGTTTGTAGTATCGCCTCAGTTTATTTTAGCATATTTGCCTCCAGCCATATGCCTTACAAATACAATACTCTTTATTACATCAGAAACAAACCTGTGGCAAATGTCAGAGGCAACAGGACAGGCTTGAGGGCAAAAATTAAGGTCCTCACGAGAAATGGACCTGTGAGGGGGAAGAGAAAGTTACTAGGCTGGCCATCATTTATTATGAAAAAAGTGAGTAGCAAACACAACAGGGAACCATTATTGCCAACCCAGCAGGAAAATTAATTAAGCTATTTATAATACATGACAGACTTTTGTTCATTGTTTTATACAGACCCCAAGTGCCTTTATAATTACAATCCTAAACACACTTTAGGGAGCAAGTTCCACTGAATATAGTGTTATAGGAAAAATGGGGTTTGGCTTTTGCTGCCCAGCTCTTCAAGGGACTGAGTCCCCTAAGTCAGACAAGAACTTTTTAATAGTTGCCCAACCCCTTAGCCAAAGACCAGCCAAAGAGTCTTACACATGTCTCCTGCCTGCCAAGATAACTGACAATGTTTTACTGATTGCATTACCTGGCCACCTTTTGATATGGTAAATAAATACTTTAGTTCTAGAATCCACAAAATACACAAAATACGCTCTTAAGACAGGGTTTGAAGGATTTGTAAGTGAAACTACTGGGAAAGGTTTTTCCAAGATATTTCCTTCACAGAGGAAATGTTTGGGGTCATTAAGAATCAAGATGGCTTCAGGATTGCTCTCCTGCACTATTTGAGACATGTGGTTTAGATACTTACGCATGTGTGTTTTACCTTGTGCACATTTATTCTATATTTGAGACCTTAGAATTCTTATAACAATGGCACAATCTGCTTTTGAGTAAATATATTTAGGATTGCAGTGTAGGGCACCTACAAAGCTGTCTTACAACAGGAGTAGGAAACTGTTCTCAGTGTTAGAGCCACACTCCCTCATGCTGGGGTGGGAGAGGGGCAACAGTTGAGACACACCATTCTCCCCCAACTCATTTAATATCCCCAGCAACACTGTGAGGCAGCTTAGGCCAAGAGGCAACAACTAGCCCAATGTCATTCAGTGAGATTCACGGCCAAGTGGGAATTTGAAGTGCCTGGCATATATATTAACTTCCATTCTTTCTTGTACGTATTGTATAGCACAATGCTAGCTTCCCCACAACTTGCCTCTGAGAAAATTATAGTTCACCATGAGATGGACAGACCATGTAGGTCCTGCCATGTCCCAATACACAATTTGTTGAAAGCTTTTTCATTTGCAAGGAAGTTGGGTGACTCTGGCGGGTCATTAACGCTATAATCACCACTTACTAAAGCTAGTAGCAGAGTCTTTCCTGCCCTTGCATGGATAGATGTTCCACTTATTTTTCTATTACAGGAAAGCACAATAGGATATCCAGCTGTTTCTGAAGTGCAGGTGTAAACACACAGCACCATCCACCCATCATGGAATTTGATTTTCACAGGAAGAAGAAAAGAGAATCTGTCTTGAAAGACAGTGGTTATAAAGTGTATGTATTTTTCACTGCATTGTTCAAATAGAGTTCCTTCTATCTTAAAATCTTCAGAGACATGTACAGATTAGAACAGGATCACTATCCTTTCCAGGCTGCTGGACGCATTTGGAATCTTGACAAATATTTGTGGGGACCAGTCACAAACTGGCTGCTGTGAGGATGTGACACAACCCAAAATGGGCGGCACACCTAAAAGAGCAGAAAAAGAGACAGGACCACAAAATGATGTGGGCAAACCCCTCCCATTAGCACACACCTCCATCAATGGGAAAAAGACACCTAGGTCAGTCACTGTTGCACTCACACACAGAAAAGGTTTTTTTGCAACTCTGTTCTGCTTGGAACAGAAGGGAGAATGGGTGTCCAATTTTGGCATTCAGTGAAATGTGCGTATGCTTTAAGGAGAGGTGTTCAGTGTGGACAAAGTCAAGCAAACAGGAATGGAACAGGGGGAGCAAACAGTCTTTCCGTCCTGTACATTATGGATTTTTGAGGAGATATTGAGTGAAGCCTTTTGCAGGTGCCATATTAGGTAACTGGCAGGGATTTCCCTCTGGTGGCAAAAGCAACAGAGGAAGAGGAGTGTTCTAAAACCAATTTAGGCACAATTTTATATGCACTTTTTGGAATTCCCTTGCCAAATGCATACCTCTAATTGTAATGCTGACATTTCAGGCACAACCGTTTTGAATTTGCTGAACTAACAAGGCGTTTGTTGCTAGCATCTGCAGAAAAGATCAGCAACCGTCTCCATCATGACATCTGTTGGGGCTCTCCCTTCCACCTGAGGCCTGTGAAAACTATTTTGAAAGCGCCCATCCCTTCTGTACAAGGTACATACGTGGGCTCTGTGGACTGGAGGGTGCTGGGGTTTCCTTCTTAATTTAATTGCTTACTCAACACAGAATTAATATGTGGAATTTACTGCTAGGAGAGGGCCATTGGTTTAATTCCATAATCTATGGACCTACCTTTAATCTAAACAAGCATTCAGTGACCTCTTCCTTAATTTTGTACCATATTCATTTGCAAAAGAACTTTAAATACAGTGGTGCCTCGCAAGATGAAATTAATTCGTTCCGTGAGTTTTTTCGTCTTGCGGTTTTTTTCGTCTTGCGAAGCACGGTGTCGGAAAAGTTTTGGAAAAGCTTCAAAAATCACCAAAGTCTTCAAAAACCTCAAAAAAGGCTACCACACCGCGTGCTATGAGTTGCTCTTCGAAGTCAAGTCGCAACTGTAATAACGGTTTTAAGAAAAAGGAAACAAACTTGCAAGACGTTTCCGTCTTGCGAAGCAAGCCCATAGGGAAAATCGTCTTGCGAAGCAACTCAGAAAACCAAAAACCCTTTCGTTTTGCGAGTTTTCCGTCTTGCGAGGCATTCGTCTTGCGAGGTACCACTGTATTCAGTTACAGGCAGTGGTGAGAACCCAATGTTGTGTTTTTATCTTAGGGATAAGAATGTTTGCCAAACAAGAATGGACATTTTCTGTGATTCCCCTTTGTGGAATTCTGTCCCCAGGGAGACTCACCTGGCATCTTCATTACATATCTTTAGGTGCTAGGTAAAAATGTTTCTCTTCAATCAGGCGTTTGGCTGATTAACATCCTATGGCCTTTTAAATGTGTCTGAGGGAGGCTATGTGTTTAGTTTGGTTTGGTTTTTGTTATATTATGTATTTTTTTTTAAGTTGTGAATTGCTCTGTGATCTTTGGATGGAGGGCAGCATACACAACTTGATGATGATGATGATGATGATGATGATGGATTGCAATCAGCCCTGTGGCCAACATAGCCAATAGTGAAGAACAATTAGAATTGTAGTCCATCAACTCCTGGTCTACATGTCTAAAGAATTGTGTTTCTATGAGAATCCTGTTCCATTCTTCTCTTTTGTTTCCTAATCTTAGCAATAGAATTCAACAGGATTTTGCAACGCCAAAGACTTGAGAAGATTGAACTTCACTGCAAGTTAGCACAACAAGTGGAGTCCGAACTGAAACACAGGATCTATTTGGCAAGGAGACCACTGCCACCAAGTGGTCCCAACTAGGTTTGACTCGTGTTTATGGTGGTTATATCAACAGTAGAGAAGCTATTCACCACATCAGTGCACAAGTGAGCAGGCTAACAAAGGGCTTTCCAAAGCCTTAATAAGATCATGTGTATCTAGTAACGTAATTCAAATTATTAAAAACCGAATTGGAAAACCAGTCCCGAATGCCTAATGGTGGTCAATGCAGGGAAGGCGGGACAAAGAACGATGCTATGGTCCTGGTCAGATGTAATGATAAATAATGGTTTATAAATGCATGCATGAGCTTTTGGCTCACTTGCTCCTTCTTCTGCTTCTCTTCCAGCTGCAAGAAAGAGATGGGAAGGCTTCACATACAATTTCCCCTAACCACAGTTAGTGGAATGGGCTGCTTCATGCAATCTTCAACAGCAGGGATGGGCAGGGGCATTTTTGCATTCCAAGGGCCACATTCCCATCTGGGTGACCTTATGAGGGCCATACACCTGTGGTGGGCGGGGCAGAGGGGAAAGTGGGCGGGGCAACAGGTGTGAATTTTACCTTTGGAGAATAGCCTAGTTTGTACAAACACTCATTTACCCCCTTCATCCAGACAGGCAAGAGGCGTTATCAGAGTTCATCCCAGCCAGACAAAAGTACTTGGGGTGCAAAATGGAGCCAGTGAGAGATATGTCTTAGGGAAAGTTCTGAGGGCCACATGAAGAGAAGTAGAGGGCCAGATTTGGCCCCAGGTCTGACACTCCTTACCCCTGTTGGAACAGCAAACTGCACACCATAAAGAAAGTTGATCCGGTCTGGTCAGAAGAATTGCGTAGGGTTGGGGGTGACCCAGGGATGCCATGAAAACATTACCCACTTGATCATTTAAGCTCCAGAATTTATCATCACCATATTGCCATAATTTTATTAGCTGGGTGTGCTGTGCCTTTGATTTAAACCATTTTTCTTATATCAATGACTTTAGATAGCAATACTATTAAAACAGGCTAATAATGATATTCAAAATATTAAAAGAGAGCGAGAACTTCAGTAAAACAGAGCCATATTTTCCTCTATTCAACTTTCTAAGGGCCAAATGGGCAGGGCCTGGGACAAAGTGGGAGCAATATAAAAGTCTTACCTTTGATACAAATAAATGAGGCATTTGCTTTGTGTGGGCTCCACCTCCTCTTCCAGCCATCCCTGTCCTCCAGTCATGACCTTTTTCTAGTATGATATTTCCAGCCAAAACATCCATTTTTTGAAGCCCACCCCACAGATCCAGATCTTGCAATCATGATTAGGGCAAACAAGATGTGACATTTCCCCCATAGCTTTGCATTGCACAGCTGACCGACGTTAAAATAATTTGCTGTCTTGAGGAGCCTAAGCCAGATAGGGGATAGGGGCTTAAAAATGGACCCCCTACAAGAATGGAAACTAGGCGGCTGCTACTTGCAATGGGAATAAAGGTCCCATTGGTGCCAATGCAAGTTTTCTTCCCATTGTGTGTAACAATTTGGGAGCCTCTCATTTCAATCAGGATCATGCCGGGAGTAAAGGATTAAAGTAACCTCCTGCTGGGCCACAATCCTGATAGACCGGGACATTCGCAGGGAAACCAAAATGCTTGTTTACAAAGCTATTGTACTACCAACCTTATGCACGACCACTTATAAACGCCATCTCCAACTCCTCGAAAGATTCCATCAAAGGTGTCGCCGAAAAATTTTATACATCACTTGGGAAGACAAGCAAACTAATATCAGTGTAATGGAAGAAGCAAAGATCACCAGTGTTGAAGTAATGATTCTTCAACTTCAACTTTGTTGGACTGGCCATGTTGTGCGGATGCCTGATGGTTGTTTTCCAAAGCAACTACTCTATTCCGAACTTAAAAGTGTAATGGAAAGTGTAATGCTGGTGGTCAACTAAAGAGGTTCAAACACTCTCTCAAGGCAAATCTAAAAAAATGTAGTATAAACACTGACAACTGGGAAACACTGGCCTGCGAGCTCCAATGAGAGAACAGCCTTTACCAAAGGTGTCATGGGCTTTGAAGACACTCAAACTCAGGATGCAAGGGAGAAACGTGCTAAGAGGAAGGCAGGTTTGGCAAACCCTCACCGTGATCAACTCCCATCCGGAAACCAATGTCTCCACTGTGGAAGGACATGTGGATCCAAAATTGGCCTCCAGGGTCACTTACGGACTCATTGTTAAAACCGTGTTTATGGAAGACAATCTTACTCGGCTATGAGTGATCGCCAAAGAAGAAGAAAGAAGATAGCTCAGAATCCTCAGCACTGACCATTTCTCAAAAATCAGCTATGCAATGTCGTTATATGACAAATGTCAAATCTCGTTTGGCCCTAAGTTAATCTGATTAGTAAGGGCTTGCTGAGGTAGTCAATGGCAACAGGCATTCTCTGTGTGTGCTGTTGTTACCTATTAACAATTCCCAGTAAAGGTAACCTGATGGGATGAACTTCAGCAGTTCCTAGCACTCAACTGCAAAGGAGAAGACTGGGACTAACGTGGAAAGAGGATGGCAAACAACTCCGGTGGCATCCCGTATACTAACAACGGAACAAGCGGCAATACAGACGGGCAAGATTATGGAAGTACAATATATGATCTGGTTTTTTCCATTGTGATAGCAATTATCACGGGTTTTATTCTGTTCTCCATGGGTTGCGCTACAGATATGAAGAAGATGTGGGGCCACATCAAGAGGCCATCAGGCATCGCTGTGGGGATGATGTGCCAATTTGGGCTGATGCCTCTGACAGCCTATATTTTGGCTATCAACTTCCCTGCGAAGTCAATCGACATGCTTGCCACCTTTATCATTGGCTGTTCCCCTGGAGGTTCCCTGTCCAACTTCGTCAGTTACTGGGTGGATGGAGATATGGATCTCAGGTAGGACAACACAATACAATTTCTTCTGCACATAGTGAAGGAGAGAAGCATAACTTAGCAATTCTGTTTCTTGGCAGGCTGGTTGCCATGTACAAGTGGCTGGATCCAAACCATGCCTAATTTGTCCCATTGATTTCAACAATGGATTCCAACCCGACTCAATCTGGTCCTGGATCTAGCACAGAATGTGCTTTTTCTTTTCTTTCCTCATTGGGGAGCATTCAAATGTGCAGTCTTGCACCTGCAAGCTTAAGTGTCACAATCCAAGAAAAGTCATGCCACATGTTTCTGTTGTGTGCACATATCTGCTCTTACACTCCAGCATTCCTATGTGCTACAGAGACGTCTTTGGCCATGTTTGCCAACAGGCTTTGAAAGGGATTAGGTTGACATGGGATGTGCTTCTGTGCAGAACATGTGCTTGGAGATGTTTGTGAAGCAGTGGCCTCTTATTTTTAATATTGTGACTTTAAGATTATGTACCATATAATCAGGAGATGACGCTAAATGATTCTGGACTATTTGGCTGTATCAGTCTTTCTGTAGTAGTTTTATAGTTTCATAACTGATTCACAGAAGTGTGTTAGATACTGTTTGTTTTGTAGTTTAATAACCAGGGTATCTGTTTGCCTGTAAAAATGAAACAAACAAAAAACAAACAAAATGCCCGGGGTGGGAATTAATGTCATTGAATGAATGAATGAATGTCATTGATGTATAAAAATACGACCATGGCAAATACCTGGGAATTCTCTTTCTTTAGGCCTATATCCTTTCTCAATCTATTCATTCATTTCTCTAGAAGCTACTTTCCAACATTCTGTCACACTACTGTGTGACCAAGAAACAGAGCTCAAGATGCAGATGAAGCTAGGATTAGTCTTGGGCCCGGTCTTATTCAACATCTTTATCAACGACTTGGATGATGGACTCAAGGGCATCCTGATCAAATTTGCAGATGACACCAAACTGGGAGGGGTGGCTAACACCCCAGAGGACAGGATCACACTTCAAAACGACCTTGACAGATTAGAGAACGGAGCCAAAACAAACAAGATGAATTTTAACAGGGAGAAATATAAAGTATTGCACTTGGGCAAAAAAAATGAGAGGCACAAATACAAGATGGGTGACACCTGGCTTGAGAGCAGTACATGTGAAAAGGATCTAGGAGTCTTGGTTGACCACAAACTTGACATGAGCCAACAGTGTGACGCGGCAGCTAAAAAGCCAATGCAATTCTGGGCTGCATCAATAGGAGTATAGCATCTAGATCAAGGGAAGTAATAGTGCCACTGTATTCTGCTCTGGTCAGACCTCACCTGGAGTACTGTGTCCAGTTCTGGGCACCACAGTTCAAGAAGGACACTGACAAACTGGAACGTGTCCAGAGGAGGGCAACCAAAATGGTCAAAGGCCTGGAAACGATGCCTTATGAGGAACGGCTAAGGGAGCTGGGCATGTTTAGCCTGGAGAAGAGGAGGTTAAGGGGTGATATGATAGCCATGTTCAAATATATAAAAGGATGTCACATAGAGGAGGGAGAAAGGTTGTTTTCTGCTGCTCCAGAGAAGCGGACACGGAGCAATGGATCCAAACTACAAGAAAGAAGATTCCACCTAAACATTAGGAAGAACTTCCTGACAGTAAGAGCTGTTTGACAGTGGAATTTGCTGCCAAGGAGTGTGGTGGAGTCTCCTTCTTTGGAGGTCTTTAAGCAGAGGCTTGACAACCATATGTCAGGAGTGCTCTGATGGTGTTTCCTGCTTGGCAGGGGGTTGGACTCGATGGCCCTTGTGGTCTCTTCCAACTCTATGATTCTATGATTCTAGTTTTCAGCGACTAAGGCCACCCCACCAGGGTTGAAAAGCAGGTTTACTCAATAGTACGCCTCTTTATTTTCTCCCATATAAGTGAATGATTTCAACTCACGCCTATAAGGGAAAGCGAAATACTGATAAAATATTGCAAGGTGGACAAAAGCTTTTACTGCTGACCTTTGGGTGGTGATACAGCCCTCAGAGGACTGCAATCCATATCTGCTTGCACAATACACAGACTGCACCCCTTTTCTGTCATTATAATGCCTTTTGGAAAGGAGAGTTTTTACCAGGATAGAGGTGTGTGTGTGTGTGTGTGTGTGTGTGTGTGTGTGTGTAGAGACCTTTGCACAGCACTCTGTTGTACAATGGTAAGAATCACACCCAGTACTATTTTTCTAGAAAAAAAGGTGCTGGAACTCACCACGAATGCCTCCCTTGTTCTTTTATAATGGCAATGGCGCCCACCTGAGAGGTGCAGGAACTGAGTTCCGGCAAGTTCCGGCTGGAAAAGAATCCCCTGCGTTGTTCCACTATCATTTGCCTCTGGTCCTGCCCACCACAATTAGCTACAACTCCTGTGTAGGAAACCCATCTCTTGGTAAACCACTTTGAAGGGTTGTGTGTGTGTGTGTGTGTGTGTGTGTGTGTGTGTGTGTTTACAATCAAGTGGTGTATAACTTGAAAAAATAAGTACAGTGGTACCTCGGGTTAAGAATTTAATTCGTTCCAGAGGTCCGTTCTTAAGCTGAAACTGTTCTTAACCTGAGGTACCACTTTAGCTAATGGGGCCTCCTGCCGCCACAGATGCACTATTTCTGTTCTCATCCTGAGGTAAAGTTCTTAACCTGAGGTACTATTTCTGGGTTAGCCGAGTCTGTAACCTGAAGCGTCTGTAACCTGAAGCGTCTGTAACCCGAGGTACCACTGTAATAATGGTACACACACACACACACACACACTACTGTTGGGGAGCTTGTCACAATAGATTACATCATTAACTTGCCTGCAGACCATCTCTTGCTCCCACCCAAGCCTCTTTCACTCTATTACAGCATCAGCATAACGGCTCTCTCTAATATGGCTGCACTCGGAATGATGCCTCTTTGCCTCTTTATCTGCACACGGACCTGGGAATCTGAAGGCGACATCACAGTCCCATATCAGGCCATAGGTATGTTTTTTGCTCGTCTTAAAACGTAGGTGACAGAAGATGGGCTATCCCTGCCCAGATAGGGGCACAGCTGTGTCACCCGAAGGCAGGCACTCTATGCCAACGAGACCACCTGAGCCTCAAGCAACAGCAATGGACCCAGGAGGAGCCCCAAATTGCGAACTTGCTCCTTCAGAGGGTGTGTAGTATTGGCAAAACCTATTGGTGTTTCGCAACTTTCTGACTAGTTGCAGGACCTTAGCCAGACCTAGTAGAGTACATTCAGAATCCACGGAAGCAATTGGCGACTTGGCTGCAGACAGGATAGATGAAGCAGGAACCAGGAACTTGTAGTTAGGTGTTTATTATATACAGTGGACTATTTACATGAACAGAACACGGATCTTTTGCTAGCTGTCTCTGACACGACTCACAACTCCTACACTGACACACTGAACCACTGAACTCACACATTCCAGTTAGTAGGCCATTAATTATCACTCCTTTGAGAGAGCTTGACCAATCAGGGAGCGGTCTCCATGTCTCTGTTATCACCAGGCAGACTTACTCCTTCAGATTGCCTTCTGGCTGTCTGGCAAACCTTAATTGACTCTGTGTGAGTAGCTGCACGTACACAGTTTCCCAGCATGTAACTCCATCAGGAGCAGGCAACCTCCCATCAATCCAGTCTAGCGAACCATGCACAAACAGGGCCTCCGTCTAACCTGGGTTGAGCTTCAGTTTGTTAGCTCTCATCCAGTCCGCTACTGAGACAAGACAATGGCCCGGCATATCTGCAGTGCCACATGCAGATATAAAGGAGAAACAGAGCAGTGTGCTATCGGCATATTGTTGACAATGTACTCCCAACATCTGGATGACCCCACTCAGGGGGTGGTTTCATGTAGATGTGAAATGGCATGGGGGACGAGACAAGGTGAGGCGACTGTCTCAGGAGGCAGGATCGCCCCTTCTTTGCTGGCAGGAAGGGGCAACATTTTGTGGTTCACCTCAGGTGCCCAAATGTCTTGAACCGGCCCTGCTGAGAAACCCCACACTGAAGGCTCCATGGGGCCAAACAGCTCTCTCCAAGCATCAGACTCTGGAAACAACCAACCAAGTAGCTCTGGAACAACCACTCTGACAGCTACTCCGGAAGAATACCATGGTCAGTGGTATCTAAATTCACTGAGAGGTTGAGGAGAATTAACAGGAACACATTTTCCCTGTCTCTCTCTTGAGATAACCTTGTAGGCTGTCCAAAGCAGCTTCTGTGCCAAAACCGGGCCTAGACCCTGAACGAAATGGATATAGAAAATCAGTTTTCTCCAAGAGTGCCTGGATCTGGTCCAAGAACCTCACCCAAGAAGGGGAGATTGGCAACTGGCTGCAAGTTACCTTGACTTTCTGAGCCCAGGGAGGGTTTCTTGAGCAGTGAACATCCTTTCCTGCAAGGAGGCATTAATCACCTCCCAGGCCCAGCCAGCTGTGTCCCCCCCCCCGCGCTAATTTTTATCAGCCAAGAGGGGCAAGGGTCCAGAGCGCAAGTGGTCTCTGAAAGCCCCTTCTGCAGTACTTCCCAAACACCTGAAAACCAACTGAACAGATCTACATTTGACTCCTCTCTTTTTGAGGGGCAACTCTTCTTAGCCTTACTAATATCTACCGTTGGTGACATTTCTGTTAAATATAGAAGGCCGTTGCACAGCACTTTGCAAATACCCAACAACCCAGCTGAGTAGACCTACATTTGACATGCACTAACCTTCTCTTGTTGTCTTTGTCCATGGAGTTTTCTTGGCAGGGAAACTGGAGTGGCTTGCCGGTTCCTGCTCCAGGTGGATCACGTTTGGTCGAAACTCTCCACTATGACCTGTCCATCTTGGGTGGCCCTGCACGGCATAGCTCATAGCTTCTCTGAGTTATTCAAGCCCCTTCACCACGGCAAGGCAGTGATCCATGAAGTGTCTGGCGTGCTCTGGTCCATGGGGTCACGAAGAGTCGGACACGACTAAACAACAAAACAACCTTTTCTTTTCCTTTTTAGGGACAACTCTTTTCAGCTTTGCTATACCCATCACTTGTGGTTTTTGGGTGAAGTATAGGTGGCCCAGGCAATCCCAAATCATTCTCAAGGTAAACTTGGGAGGCACATTCCTGTTAAGGAATTAAAAACTCCTGCACGGAACAAAAGCAAGCAAAGATATACAATGTATTTCACCCTATTTCCGCCAGTCCACTCAAGGCGATTTACAATCCAAAGCAGTTGCCATTGATGTTATTTTTAAAAAAGGGAAAAGGAAAGGAAAAAAGAAAACGGACGGGATGGCAAATGCTAATTCAATCTCAGATGCCACTTCTTCCTGTATGATTACGTAAGGATGAGGGTAGAATGACTATTGATGGAGATGGTTCTGGGAGGAGGAAGGATGAGCCAAGTGATGAAAACCAAATGGAATGACATGCTCCACCTTTCTCTTTGTCCATTTGTAACAGGCTGGAAGCACCATTGGAGGCTTTCTATGGGTAGTCCCGACAGTAGCCTACTTACTGACATTTCAAGGTTCTTGGATTGTGGACTACTCTCTTCTGATAGTTGCAGCAGTGCTCCCAGTGACTGGCTACCTTGGTGGCTTTCTGCTGGCCCGTCTCACCTGCCAGTCTTGGCAAAGGTACCCGATAACTTGATTATTTATTTGCAGGAACTGCTTATAGCCTGCCCTTTGATCAACACAAGAGACCAGTCCAGGGTACAAGAAATAAGAACGCAGCCCAATGGTGTGGGCAAGATACCATGCTTCTTGGACTTCTGTGCTTCCAAGCTGATGTGGGGTGGCTTGGTGGCTCCAGGGGTGCTGTGAACACACCATCGCATGATCAGATGTCGTCAGCTGCTCTTGAAGAGGTGGTGGTGTGGGTTGCTCCTTAAAAAGGAGGCAATGTAGCAACTATTGGCCAGTCACCAACCTTCCATTTTGGGTAAAGGTGGCAGGAAGGGTGGTGGCAGGGATACTTAAAAGTGTTCCTGGATGACACTGATTATCTGGATCCTTTTCAGTCTGGGTTTAGGCCTGGAATGGAATCAGCCTTGGTCACTTGAGAGGGTGACCTATAGCAGGAGAAGGACAGGGAGACTGCAATCTTGTGCTTACTTGAACTCTCAGCAGCCTTGGATACCGTTGACCAAGGTATCCTCCTGGACTGATTGAATTGGCCAATTTTGGGAGTGGAAAGTTTTCAGACCTTTTCGGACCTGTCGAATCTTCCCCCAAGTGACTCTGTGTACAGAGAATTTCAAAATCTTTGTGCTTCCAGGTGTCGGACGATTTCTGTGGAGACAGGAACTCAGATACCTCCTGGACTGGTATCCTCCTGGACTGATTGACTGGAATTGGCCAATTTTGGGAGAGGAAAGTTTTCGGACCTTTTTGAACCTGTCGAATCTTCCCCGAATCTTCCAGGAAGTGACCTTTAGAGAATTTCAAAATCTTTGTGCTTCCAGGTGTCGGACGATTTCTGTGGAGACAGGAACTCAGAACTTGAACTTGCCCATTGCTGTGTTCCAGCTGTCTTTGAATTTCCAGCATTTCATCCAGATATATCCATCCATTGTGATCTATAGCGCGTTTCAGTTGCTAAATTTATCCCTTATGGTTTCAGGTAGGTAACTCCATTCAAAAACGTGCCCCGAGGAAAGCGAAAACAACTGGGAAGTACCAAAGACAGGTCTAATGTATAGAGAAGCAGTATTCAGAATAGGAAAGGGGCAGTTGTTGTTTACTGTTTTGTTTTGTTGGATGAGGTCCAGATGTTCTTATTTTATTGCTGATTCAAAATGTTTAAATAAGTGCTCAAACGGATGAAATAATTGGTGAGGGATGCAATTAAGAACATTTATATTAGTGTCCCCCCCCTTTTAATTAAATCCCTTAGAAAGACTTCACACGTTACATTTTTTAACGTAAAGTATAGATGTGATTGGGACGCAGGTAGTGCTGTGTGTTAAACTACAGAGCCTAGGGCTTGCCGATCAGAAGGTTGGCGGTTTGAATCCCCATGACGGGGTGAGCTCCCGTTGCTCGGTCCCTGCTCCTGCCAACCTAGCAGTTCAAAAGCACATCAAAGTGCAAGTAGATAAATAGGTATCTCTCCGGCGGGAAGGTAAATGGCATTTCCGTGCGCTGCTCTGGTTTGCCAGAAGCGGCTTAGTCATGCTGGCCACATGACCCGGAAGCCGTACGCCGGCTCCTTCGGCCAGTAAAGCGAGATGAGCACCACAACCCCAGAGTCATCCGCGACTTGACCTAATAGTCAGGGGTCCCTTTACCTTTTTATAGATGTGATTAACACATATATTACTGGCTGTATAAGCATATAGTTTTGGCCACAGCTACCTATGCCAAGTTTACATTTGGTAGCAAACACAGGTGCTCCTCTATATAACAGGGAAAACCACTGTGGAGTTAAAAGCGCAAACTTTTATTTTGAAGTCCTTAGTGAGAACCGAAGAAGACCTCAAGCTACTCATTCGGGCCAAAGGTCTATCTAGTAGAGCATCCTGTTCTCAGCCACATGCTTCTGGGAAGCCCTGAAAGCACCATGTGCGTGCAACAGCCCTCTGCCCACTTGTGCATTGCAAGGGGTTGGGCTGGATGATCTTTGGGGTCCCTTCCAACTCTGCAGTTCTTTGGTTCCACATGCTCCCCAGTATTCAGAAGCTGGTTGCCCATGATGGTATGGGGGTGGTTATACCTTTTCAATACTGTTCATGCCTGCAAAAGGTTTTGGGCAAACATACTGGTTCATTTCCAAGCGGTGCACATCTTGTAACTTCCTGTTGAAAACCTGTGACTTTTTATAAGTGTTCTGAGCATAGCTGTCAACTTTTCCCTTTTCTTGCGAGGAATCCTATTCGGAATAAGGGAATTTCCCTTAAAAAAAGAGAAACGTTGACAGCTATGGTTCTGAGGTGTGTGCATCTCACTTTTGCTGCTCCTTCAGACGACAAAATGCATTGGGCAAGCATTGCAGCACAACGAAGGAAGTGGAATTATGCAAGGGTGGGTCCGGAATAAATCCAGCATGAATGTTGACATGTTGTGGCAGAATATGCCCTCCCCCCCCCAAAAAAAACCCCAACAACAACCAGCCCAGTGTGGGTGGGCACCGAGTATTTCCGTCCTGGACTATCACTCAAGCAGTCTCCTAAGTCATTTTATTCATTTGCTTTGCACGCAGGTTATCAGATTTATAAGAAATGTCTGGGAAGAGCAGCAGCAGCAGCAGCAGCAGCAGCAGCAGAAGAGAGACCATCTGATCCTCAGGTCACAATGTCAGGCAATTTGGGCAGTGAAATCAACTTGCGATTTGAAATGGAGCACGAAGTCAATTCCAAAATGGAAAATAGTTTCAAAGTTCTTTAGCTTCATCAGGAAACTATGTGTGACGGGTGTGTGATTCAAATCCTATGTACGTACCATCCATTTAAAGCACGATTAAATTTTCTGTTTTACAGTTTAAAGTACACATTTTTACATCCTTAAGATATCAATGACTTCCCTTCTTCTCTTTCCATGGTTCATTTTACGTATCCTAAATCCCTGCATATTTTAAAAAAACTATACCAATCAGTATTCCATTATTACATCCATCACAACTTATTTACACTGCTGAATTTATCTTAATGTTGCCATTGTTTTCAGCTGTACACAGTTATTTCCCATATATTCAATAAACATTTTCCAATCTTCTCTAAACGTATGTTCTTGTTCTCTTATTCTATATGTTAAGTCTGCAAGCTGTGCATATTCTGTCAACTTAAGTTGCCACCCTTCTTTGGTTGTAACCGCGCACGTTTTCCATTTCTGGACTAACAAAACACAGGCCACAGTAGTGGCATACATAAATAACCTTTTTTGACACCTGGGGATTTCAGTCTGAATTGTCCCCAACAGAAAGGACTCTGGTTTTTTGGGCAAGTACTTTTAAACATTTCTTCAATTCATTATGGATCATTTCCCAATACTCTTTTACCCTTTTACAAGTCCACCACAATTCCTAGTACCCTTAACAAACTACAGTTTCCAGGATTCTTGGACCCAGGGTAGTTACGTGCTTTAAATGGATGGTGTGTACATATCCCTAACAAGATCTGTGCTACTACATAGGCACACGAATGCATCTATCAAGCCCTGTCCTTTTGTTTAAGTGTCCAGGATGTCAATTTGATGCCTCATCAAAGAGTAACATACATATACATATATATATAATGGTTGCCACAAGCCAGAGTGTGCAATGATTCTTTTCACAGTTATGATTAACGAAAAACATGCCATTTAAAAGGTCACTTCCAGCATTTTTCCTAGGCTGGATAGTTCTCTCTGTATGTTTCTCCAAGTCTTTCATGCTTGGTTTGCTTGTTCAGACATTTTGGCTTCAAATGCAGAAAAACTTGGGAAGGTTAACAGTCATAGTTAGTTAGATTGCATATTTATCAGGTCAGCTTCTGTAGGGCAAAGCCATAAAAGGGAACAGAGTGTCATCTAGGCATGGGCGGCCTGTAAGGTCTGATGCCACCTCACCCAAAACTTGATCAAAGCAAGAAGGATCTGAGGCTGAAGAGAAAAACAGGTCAAATTGACAGAAGACGTATGAAAATGAACTCTCTTTTAAAAGTGTTTTATTTACACTGTGGAGACGTCCCAGCAGTTATAAGCTTAGACATCTGATAATTGAACTTTTTTTGTAAAAGTATATAAATATATACACAAGACTCTATATAAAGTAAACATTGTGTAATACAGTAAACGTTTGCTATTTTTCCTTATGCTAGTTAAGTTGTTCTGTAAAGCTTAAATACTGATTTCAAGTATTTTCTATAAAAAGCTCTACTGTATTAAAAATGCTGGGGGAAAAGACTGCTCTGCTATAAACAAAACGCTTAAAAACAGACTAATAAAAAATTACCAGTAAGAAAGACCACCAGGATAAAATACTGTTTTCATTTCCCAACCGCCCATCCCTTACATCAGAAATATACTATAAAATAGTTGGGAGGGAGAGAAAACATAATACTTCTTTAAAAATAGGAAGCAGGGTTTTTTTTCCCCTTTTTAAAAAATGTGTCAATTGCTTATCATAGTTCGAAAAAGCTGCAAAAAAATTGCAGCATTATTAAATATATATGGTGCACAAAGACCCCCAACCTGTTGAAAAAAGAGGGAGTTATAGTGGTACTCGATAGAGATTGGAACTGGAATCCTATTGGCAGAGCTCACCTAGGGCACAGCTACACTACATTCACGCACACGCGCGCGCGCGCGCACACACACACACACACACACACACACACACATACATACTGGTTTCACACCAATTTAACTGCCATGGCTTCCCCCCAAAGAATTATTGGGACTTGTAGTTTGATGAGGGCGCTGAGTATCCCAGTCTCAAGTCTGTCACCAAACTACTGTTCCCCTAGGGAGCCCTCTCATAGACATTTAACTTGTTTTAACTCTGTAGTGTAGATATGCCCAAATTATTCAAGAACCTTATTTCCCCCCTTAAATGCATATTCGACTTGTAACAGCTTAGTTGCTTCTTGGCTTTTCTTCCACTTGGAGCCGTTTTAGGACGTACAGGATAACTTGATAGCAGAAAACGTACTGGTCCTGCAAAAGGAGGAAACGGCGTGTAAACTCACAGGAACACCAGTTCTGAACTGCAAAAAGGCAGCTGCAGTAGAGTCCACTTAAACACAGCTGCATCCTAATCTTTCACCCCACAGATTACACTGCTGTAGAGCTTTGCTCTCTTTCTTCAATTGGGCCTTTAACTAGTGTGCCATCCATTCTCACAACCTTCAGGTGGTTCGGAAGGGGGCTGAAGTCACAAATCCAACCCCACCGTCCGCACCCCTTTCCTGTCGCCAACCATCCATGCTGCTCAAGGGGAACACTGCAAGACCAGCATTATTAATCTAGTGCAAAAACCCCCCAGAAAACCAAATAGGAACCTGCTTTGTTCAGTCAGTGCCCTGCTAATGGGCCCAAACCAAGAGAATAGGAACCGTGAAGGCCTTATGCTGTTTTGTATGGAAGCAATTTGGGGGGGAGGGACCTAGCTCAACTGTAGAACAAGTTCACCCCCTTGTGTCTTTAGGCAGGGCTAGTAAAGACCCGTTTGATACGCTGGAGAGCTGTTGCCCATCAGAGTAACCAATGCTCAGCTAGATGTACCAATATTGTGACTCATTATAACACAGCTGACTCTGCTTCTATGTTCCTCTGTCCATCTGGCCTAGTAACTGGGACCCTGAACGCCCACATTACCCACAGGTACCTGCAGGGGCCCACTTCCAATATTTGGTCTTCTGGGTTTGCTGGTTGCGGGAATTTTCTTTTTGGGGTGGGGATACTGCTTGCTCTTTGTTTGCTTGTTGTTTTTTGGGGAGGTGCCCTTGTAGGTGCTTCGCTGGTTTTTCTATGGGGGGGGGGAGGGCTTGTCCATCAACAGTCCCTTCCCCACCCCATGAAATGGATATATATATTTTTGTAGTGCCCACCCACAATATTTCCTTAGAACCCCTAAAAGGCTGGTGACTCCTGGTCTAAATGAATTAGCATTAGCTCTCCAAGGCTTGTTTTCACAGCCACCTGAAGTCATTTCCAGCCAATCTCTTTATGGTGTGTTCATTCTGATTTGTTTGCATGACTGTTACTGAGCATCCATCTGGATTTGTCTGCACGAAGGCTATACAACTTCCTGTCAATTGATTGTCATAATAATAATAATAATAATAATAATAATAATAATAATAATTTATTATTTATACCCCACCCATCTGACTGAGTTTTCCCAGCCACTCTGGGTGGCTTCCAATCGAGTGTTAAAAACAACACAGCATTAAATATTAAAAACTTCCCTAAACAGGGCTGCCTTCAGATGTCTTTTAAAGATAAGATGGCTACTTATTTCCTTCACATCTGAAGGGAGGGCGTTCCATAGGGCGGGCGCCACTACCGAGAAGGCCCTCTGCCTGGTTCCCTGTAACCTCACTTCATCTCACATCATGCATTTTTTGTCACTTTCCTTACCTGGTTGTTTTTTTAAAAAAGTGGTTTTGTTGCGCAAGAGTGCTTAGATTGCAAAAAACAAAACAAAACAAAACAAAACAAAACTGGCTGGTATGCAATTGAATCCCACTTGCAAAACAGAGGCAGTCTGGAGACAGGCTGAGCCAGCCAGTCCAAGACTGTCTATTCTAACAAGCTCTCCAGTTACTTTGGTGGAAGCTGTTTCCAGAATCGCTACCCCAAATCCTTCAAGCAGCAATGCTAAGGACTAGAACTTGGGCCTTACGAATGCTTCATGATCCTTAATTCCCTCCACATTCTGGTCTCACGGATTAAATGGCTCAGATTACACACAGCATCTGCAAAAGTGCAAACGCACTCGTAGGTGCCAAACCTGCCTGCAGAAATATGCAGTGTATCCAAGTTCCTTGTTTTGAAATTTCCTCACCTTCCTGCTCTTTGATCTGCCGTTCAGAGGGATACGCGGGAGAAAAGCTCCCGAAGAAACCAGAAGTGAAACTGAGTTAGGACACACGTACCTCTGTTTGCACCATGCCGTGCCTCTGCAAGCGCATTGTGCGCACCACGTCAGAGATGTCAAACTGACAAAGGAAAAAGAGGAGAAGCCATTAGGCACCACTGGTCTGGAAAGGAACCTGGTGAAGTGTTCTAGAAGAGTGCACCAGTGCAAGGGTGAGGACTGCACACATGACATACAAATAAACCTCATTTACAGTACATGGCGTTCCCCAAAGGATCTTAGGAACGGGTGCTTATCCCTCACAGAGTTACTGTTCCCAGTACCCTTAACAAACTCTGTCTCCAAGGCAGTCTGTACAGCAGCAGTCTTGGCTCTGGGCCTTTGCAAAACACCTCTAGGGCGAGGAGGAGATTTCCAGCAGGGCAGTGGCAAGTGGATGCTTAACCTCCACAGAAACCCCTTCTTTGCCATGACCCCAGACTCTAAACAGTGACCAAGGCACTGAATCAATGGCTACAGGGACCCTAATGAGAAGTTCCATTAGGTTTCTGACTCTGAGGAAGTCAGTGGTGATCAAGGGCTGCTTGGATTGGCAGGAAGCTGCTGAGTTAGATCTCCAAATAATCAGTCTATAGAACCAGAGCCGTGACCCTCACCATCTCCTGAAGAACTAAGAGCCTCCCACAATGCCTTGCCAGAAGAGTGGTCCAAGGAATACACTAGGCAGGAGGGCTATGGAGCAAACAGGAAGTGTCTGCCTTCAAACCAAAAGGCTGGCTCTTAAAGAGTCTGCAGTTCTCCAACACAGGAGAGGTGGGCTGAACACAAAGGCCTCAGTCCTTTATGGAGCAAGCTGCTCACTTGGAACTCTCCGTGGTGCTGTGGCAACTGGCCTGCTTTTATGTGCCCCAATGTGCTGCTCCTTGGGCCCAGAATAAAAGGTAAAGGTACCCCTGCCCGTACGGGCCAGTCGTGTCCGACTCTAGGGTTGTGCGCCCATCTCAC